GGGGGAAGAAAAAAAAGAAAAAGAAGAAAAAAAAGAGACAGATATTGAGGAAGAGAAACAGTAGGGTGTGACCCGACTCATGGGGGCTGCAAAAGTCGCCCCGAGCGCTGCGGCTGCATTTGCATTCTGTCAAACGGACACCTGATGGCAGCACGTTATAGCTTCAGCCGTGCTCGCAATCTCTGAGGCTATTTAAAAATGCGATATTGTTCAGGGCTATTTAAAAATACAAATGGCCGAGCTACTACGCTGCTTCCTCCCTGCGCCCATGGCGAGCCGGCATGCGAGGCCAAGCCACGGCGATGCTTTGTGCTACGGGCACCCGGTGCTCTGGGAAGGTAAAACCCTCCTCGTCTGGGCACGTTCATGTGCACATTCTGCAGAAATTTCTGCCACTGCCAAAGTATTCTTCCTGACTTCAATGTCTTTTCCCAAAATGCAAGTTACACCAGTGGCGGATGGCACCTAGCTGCAGCGGACTCGATCAAGTGTTGAAAATGTTCTTGCTTCAACTGGGAGGTTGGACTAGGTGACCTTTGTCAATGAGCATTTCTAGGATTCTTATCGTTTAGCACTATACAGGTATGAGAACTTATTACTTGGCTCCTTTCTGCAGGCAGAAAACGTATTTTATATTATTCTCTCATTCTCATTGGTAACATACAGTGCCAGTCACACCACTGCTACTCCTTTACAGGCATTTAAATACAGCAAACCATAGCAAATCCTCCCATAAAAGGCAGCACTAAGATTCACATTACTTTTCAACACAAACTGGGCTAAGTGAGTAAGTGCTAACCACTTTCGATAATCTTGGCATCCCTGTGGCATCACCACACGGTGGGTTCCTACATCACATCCTTGACCCCTCAAGCACATACCCGGCATCAAAAGTTTGCCCACTGGAAAATATACTATTGCTTTGCCTAGCGCCTTAACCTGGTCCTTAAAACATGTATTTTTTATATATATATATATATATATATATATAAAAAATATGTAGAGGCTAACCATGACACATGCTCATTGCATGCAATGAGCCTGTTGGCTGCTGTCACTTGGTTTCTGGGGCTATAATCCTACATTGGCTTAATACTGAAACAATGGCAATTAGCAGCGATAACTATAAATAAACACGTATCAACTCTGAATTTTGCAGCTGATAAGTTCTGTAACATTTACAAATACCTTAATTTCTTGCCGCCATCTGCTATTTTAGCTTTTAGAAGATATCCTTCTTTCTCCACTACCTACAAGAAAGAGAAAAGAACATGTCATAATCATATCATTAATTCAGATGAAGGAATCCACTTAGTACATTCATAAGAGTCTGCATCTAGCTATTCTAGTGTGGGAGCATTTTATCACTAATTCTCAGTTTAGTCACCTGTTTTTTCCAGTACTGTCAGTTCTTTTGAAAATAAACAGAATAATATTGTTTGCTGAATTTGAAGAAACTCATTTTACTGCAAGCAAAATTTCTAGCTGAGTGAAAAATTAGTTAATTGAAAATATATTGTAAGTAAATGATGTCAAGGTATCATTTCATATATTGAGTCGCAGGAGTCCATGTTTCATTGATAGCTGTAAGGGACACACCATACTCCTGGAAAAGCTTCTCAATTCTTGTCTTCTAAAGATAGTCATGTTTAGGGGTAACCAATGTCGCAGAAACATTAAATATCCGTACAACACAAAAAGTTACATTTCCTTCATAGGTGCCACATTTTGCTTTGAGTTGACACCAAATCAAGGCTCATGCGAGATGTTAACATGCGTCGTGCTTTTAAGCTGTGCTGCCTTTTGGATGAGCCTTGGTATTGAGGCACTCAGCCCTCCCGGCCCTTAAAAGGTCGCACTTCATTGGAGTGTGTGCGTCCATGTGCGGGGAGAACTTGTCTTCAAGTTTCCAGCTGAACTAAATGATCTCATAGTACGGCGCAGAAAGCCAAACTGGGAAGTTCTTTCAATTCTCGACACACAAGCTGAAATGGGAACTCTAACAAGAGAAAACAAAGCTGTGTTGTGCATTTTCCAAAAAGGCAAAATCCTTAGCTGTTACCTATGCCAAGGAGGAAGTGACATTAGCAATCTGACATCACCTTTGTAGATTCCACACTCTGCTATTAGTTACTGGAACCTGGTCCCTCTTATGTGGTGTCAGAACAGGCTCAGGACCTGGCCAGTATGCACGAGTCTGAGACACCTGGTTGTAGGGTACCAACATTGTGCTTCATTTTCGGCACGTGAGAAGCAAGTCCTCGGCTTGCTCTTTTGTTTGCATTTCTCTCTTAATTTGTGCTGCTCCACATCTCTGAATGCTTTTTTAAAGGCAGAGGCCCTTGCAGACGCTTGGTTCTCTATGATCTGCTGAAACATCCTTTGTACAGCTGTGGTATACAGTTAGGGATAGGGGTTATTTTTGGCTATGTAAATTTATATTTAAAAAATTAAAAAACAAAACACAACAAGATGACTGGTCTTCAGCCAAACCCATTGACCTGCCATCTCATCATGTCTCATTAGCTAAGGATGTCCCAACTGTGTCAGTAATGGAAAAAGAAGCAAAATGGTGATTCAGAAAGGGTTTGTTTTCCTTTCAAACACTACTGAGTCCGTGCCTGACTTGGATATTAGAAACACCACGTGGTCTTTATAGTCAATTGTGTCACAAGGAGATTTTATAACAATTTCAATAGACTTTTGCCATCTGCAAGACCATTAAATAGCAATAAAACACGCTTTAACATGCAACATAAGGATTTCTTAATCAAACATATCTGTTATTGTGATGATACAAAATATCACGATATCAACAGTGTAACATGTTTAACTATGTCCTTAGATTTTTGTCTGTTGATCATATACAGCATATAATTAAATATATGCTGCGTAAATATCTGTTTGTACATATGAAAAGGTCTGTAGGTCTCTGGACAACGATTTAGGTGACAATCTCAAATGGGTACATGAGGATTAGCATGTCCATTTTCTATAATTTGTACTTAACTCATGCAAATTCCTGTCATGCTTATCATTGCCATAGAAAACCCAGAGAGAAAGTATGTAGGGATTATTGTGCAGATTCATGTCACTATTTATCTAATGATGGATGAATTATTACAGCTAAAATAAGAATTAATACCAATCTCCACCCTCCACCTACTTTTTTTTTTTTTTTTTTTTTAATCAAACTTATTTTACATCTTATGATATTTTTCTTCCCCTTCTAACTCTTCATTTTCATAGCATAAAACTTGTGGTGCTTGGCCAGGGCCAGAGATGTCCAGTAACATATGAGAAAGGTTATTTTAATATTCTTACCCATCTGGAAACAGAATTTGAGAGGAGCATTAGCTAACCATTCAAGCTGTTTATTGCTACTCTGAACCAGACCCCAAAATCTCATGCTTTCAAAGTTTACCAACAACCCTTCCCAAACTGTTATTTTAACCAATCCAAACTAAAGGCAAATGTGATTTTAAACATCAGATCTAATACCTCTGTCCGTACATTTTGCGAAGTTAAAAATCGAATGTGCTTCCAGATGAAAATGCTGCTGCTCAGTCATATTTTCCTTATAATTGTCTTGAGCTAGAATAGCAAATCCACTAACAAATGCCGGGCATATAAATATCCTGATTTAAATTACATAGCTCAAATCCGCCATTTGATTTAAATTAAACAGCTCAAAAATACAAGATCTTCAGTTCACATGAGACCTCTCAGTGCTAAACAAAGTAACTTTCATATATATCGCTTTAATTGAATTACTACAGGTGCTCCCTTTTAAAAAAAAAAATTAGCATGGTCTTCATTAATTGCCTATGTGCAGAGTTTTCTCTGTAAGTAGTATAAAGGGCATTTATGGAATTACAAAACAACTTTACCACAAAGACAAATAAAAAGATTTCTAGGATGACCCCAATATTTTTACAACCTCTATTTGGAGTGCTATATGCCTTTTGTTTAACATTTATTAATATCCCCTTTACTGTTCTCCTTGTTTTCAAAAAAATATTTCCAAGATAGCTAAAGATCATCTTACAATACCTTCTGCAAATGGATGATATTATAGTAAATATAATACCAAATATATCCTAATGATATACTCTGGTGTTTCTGTCTCACTAAATATCATCATTTTTTATTAAGCTGCTGCCCTTCCTGCACCTTTTCAACATATGGGAGGTTGAAAAAATGACCCAAAATGCCCTGAAGAATTAGCATAGAAATAAGAAAGCAGAATTATTGTGTGGCATTGTGTGTTTGAGGTTCTTTATTTTATTTTTACATGAATATTAAAGATGAGCATATGTATGTGTAATATCTTTCTAAATAATAATAAAAAATACTTTCATGAGCTAAAAGTATTAGAAACTATAAGGAAAAGTAATTTTTACTATATCACAAGTAGGTTCTATAGTTTTCTTAATTAGAAGAATTCAAAGCTTCTGAACCTACCTAATCCTGAAAAGTTTGTGTAGGTAAAAGTACCACTGATGCCAACATTTCTTTGATGAATTTGTGTTCGCATATTCATTTTCTTTTGACAGGAAAACCTCTATGCTTCTAATTTCCCCTAGGTTCTTTTAATGTCAAGGAAAATTGTTAAGAGCCATGATAATTTTTATTTCTAAAAATTGATATTGAAAACATCTTAATACAGGCAAAGACAGGAGAATGACATGCTCACATTCCTTTGTATCAAGTATTAATACCGATGAAACATCAGTCTAGTACAATTGTATCAACAGAGCCAAGCTCTGTAAATTGCTTTGTACCTCCAAAATTTATTCTTTTTATTGATTAATCAAAGTCCCACAAATCCCTTAATGTCTTGAGGTATCCAAAGCCTCATGTACTTATTCTTTAGTAAAGCATGTGTAACATTTACATTATAAACATTTAAAATAAGAAGAGTGATTTATCAGTTCTATAGAGCAATTGCTTACCGTGTGGTCCTGTGTACTAATGATGTCTGCAAGCGTTAAGTTATGCTGAGAATGATTTCTTCGATGACGATTTACCTAAAAAAAAAAAAATAAAAAAAATCAAGGATTTAAATTCAGAGAGGATTCAAATACATGCAGGTAAAGATGGACCAACAAATCTAATTACTGGGCATTGACAGCATGCTTTGGATGGAGTTTTAGAAACCTGATCTCCTTCAGCACTGCCTTTTTGTGAAAACTGGTGTTCCTCTGAGCCCCGTGTATTTGAAATGTAAAACTAGTGAACTCTAAATATCTCTGGTATAAATGTGTTTCTTTGTGATGTCACGTTGGCAAAGTTACCTAAAAATTAACCAACTGATGATAATAATTTTAAATTATGACTTTTCCATCAGGAATCTCAAAATTTGCTGAACTGGCTAGGTGCTCTTAAACCCATTTTACAGAAATAGGAAAGATGTTAATTATAACCTCGAGGTCACAGAGCAAGTAAATGAAGAAACTAGAAAATAACTGGAAAAAAAGCACATAACAGATACTTTTAACCTGCTTTAAAGGCTATTTCTAAAGTTTCCATGACTGGAAGGCTACAGCAATACTGGACTCTGATTCTACAATTGTTGATTTCCTCTGGTTCCCTCTTTTCTAGGATGAAGCCAGTATAACCATCTGTGATTTAACTCTGGAAAATTTTTGTATTATACCAGAAATTATTAAGACTAAATAATCACAAATCAAGTGTTCGTCAGAGCTCATTTTACAAATCTGTAACAAAGAACAGGTCACACAAATGTGTCTGTGTGTATGTGTATATATATTAAAAACTTTTACTGTTTAAATTCAGCGTCAGTCATTAATAATATAATATGGAGTTGAGATCCTGTGAAATTCAATGATTATCTCCTCTTTTAACTGAAGCCAAAAAGCAAGCAACAAAATATAGTCTCAACTAGTTTCCACTGTATTCATCATAATGCATTCTCTTTTTCCCTATTAAAACAGAGTTAACCAAAAGTCATAATGTATTCTGTTTATATTCAAGTGTCTGAATATAGAAAATGTTCTTAATTAATCCAGAGGGCCACGCTTAAAAAACAGTTAAACATATTATGATCCCATATTTTTTTCTGCACACATTGCTTTCATGTTTATTTGTAAGCACTAACATTTTTAAGCCTTGAAATCTATATCCTAGATATTGCTCTACTCTCCTAGTCAGAGCTAATGAGCTTAATGAATTACCAGTTCTAAATTTAATACAAACATTTCAAAGAAAGAGATAAAACATTCTTCACAATTCAAAAGTTTCTCTGACCTATTTATGAAGAATATCACTTAACAATTTCATTAAGGGTGAGTAACAGCTGGTGACATGGCTGTGTCCTAAAGTGTTTTTCTCTCTTAATATTCTGCATCTTAAGCAATCGAGCTTTCATAAGAAATACTTTAGTTAGTGGCAGTCCCTCCTTTGGGGAGAAAAAAAATGTCAGACCACATTTTCTGTATTTTGCAATCTTGTTTTCAGGAGTGTCATGTTCCTGTTTTATTAGCATGTAGGGTAAACAAGAATGATTTGCTGATGCTGTTGAGAGAACTTTTAAGATTAGAGTCTCTCTATTTAGATTTTGGAGGGAACTTAATATTAATGCAAGCAGAGGCATGTATATAAATTCAAAATAAATGAATTCAATTTATCTTTTTCTTTATCTTTGCTGTTCAACAACTCTGAAGGTTCTCTAGTGCTCATGACATATAACTAAACTATTCAGGTCTAGATCATAGCAAGTCTTTCTTACCCAGATCCCCCATTCTAATTATTCCTTAACATACAACAGAGCATATTGCTCAGCAATGCTTTCTAAAATATAGTCTTCACTCATCCAAATTAAATAACAAGACACACCACCACTCCACAGTATCTATTTTAACATGCAGCTGCTCTCTCCAGGAGTCATACGTGTCTGTTGGGGGCCCTATATGCAACTTTGTGAAGTGTACAGCACCGATCAAGAGCTTTCGGTCTGGTCTTTGGTTCAAGGATCAGAGCACTAGCAATAGAAATGCTTACATTTGATACATGCTAAAAAGAATATAGCAGAAGCATTAAATCCATCCACAGCCAAATGAAGAGAGGAGATAGTAAAAAGTACTGGGTTTGTATTACTTTATTAGTGGTAGTGTAGTAAAAGGACAATAGTAAGATTTCCAGGAAATATGAAAGGAGAAAAAAAAATCCAGTTATGGATCACATTATGTGCTTTAAAAACCTCTTCGCTGTATGCAAAGCAGAAATGTTAAGGAAAACTGTATGTGTACAAGGAGAAAAAAAAAAAAAAAAATAGACCTCTTACCTGATTATTTAATATGATACTTTTGCTAAAAAGATGTTTCTCTCATAGGGCAAAAATAAAAGAAATTGCATTACTTTGTAACCCAGCAGTGAGCAATCTCACACAAGAAGCTCCAAAGTCTGAATCGAGTTACAGAAATACAACCAAAATCCACAACTATGTAAGCCAAGATCAAGGTCTTCTGGAAAAACACCCCAAATATTTGGCTTACAAATGGAATTAACGGAAACTTCAACAAAGTTCTTACTCATTTCTACCAGCCTCTTTGGTTTAGAAATAGAACTTTTTAAAGAATGAATCAAAACATCTTGAAAAAAAACTCAGCACCAGAGGCAATATATTCTTTAAAACCAATTTTATAAAATTCCAGGAGGCCTTACATAAATTTGGTCTTAAATATATTTTGCAAATACTGCTGGATAAGTTCGTTATTTCACTTTCTTTATGAAATATTTAGTTCAATGTTAAAACGCTCTTAGCAGAACCTGGGTGACAGTACTCAATATACCTATGTTCAAATATATTCACAGTTTTCAGTAGCGTACCAAAATATTCAGAGGGAAGTGTAGGCTCAATTATTTTCATTCTTTCATTCAGTTTTTAATAGACAGACCATAAAGGAGATGCTTTTGAGATTTTTTTTTTTTTCCTCTGTAGCTCCATTCAATTACCCTAATAAAGAGAAGAAAAACCTAAATAATATCTGTCACAAGTCCTCTACCTCACCTCCCAGGGTATGATGAAAGGCAGAGATTTACAGAAGTTCGTGAGATCCCTTTTTGGGAAAGGCAGCTTATCAGCAGTTTTCTGATTTGATGAACATTCTTCAGTCAGCAACAATGTCACCTGCAGCATTAAAAAATCCACTCTGCGAGCGCTTGCAAGTCTGTGGGCAAGTCTGGTTTTGTTAAATTCAGCCTCAGCCGGCCCCCCCTTTTCCCTTAGCTAAAGGGTATCCATCTCCTACCAGAGTTATTTCAGCATCTAAGCACTAATCCGTCATCATCCTTTCTACAAAGGCAAAGCCTCCATTACATATGCCTGGTATCCCGGCGTGAAGGGACAACCATCTGACAACCGCTGTTTTAACACTGATGAAGTAAAATACAATAACCTGATGTTTAATTTCATTTCTTTCTGTGTTCCCATTTGTTCGTTAAATTCTCCTCCTTTTTGTGGGAATTCATCACAACCAACTCATTCCTACTCTCTTCAAATAGCGCGGCGTTGATTTAAAGAGAGACTTGGAGGACTGATTTGGATCTTATTTCCCATTACAAGCATATTTCTGACCTAATTCATCTAGGCAAAGAGAAGCAGCATACTTCTTTTTGATTTCAACCAAACCTAGCAAAATCAAACAACATTTCTCAAAAGGCCCAGACAGGCTGCTCTAGTGCAAAGTACAGACAATTAATTATTTCCTGATACACCATTCTGAGTTCACTTGTATCCCTAATTATTTAAGATAATCGTAAGACATTTTAAGCTGTTTCCAAGATTATCAAATAAGTTATTCATCACAGGTTATTTACCCACAGACACCACCTACAAGTAGCCTGGGAAAACTATAATTTGTTCGAACAAGCAGCACCTGGAGCAGCAGCGCTCTGCTTTGGATGAAAAACTCCAGGATGACATCTACCTGCTGTTTTCTCCATCAACTGCTGTACTCCTCCATCAAGGAGAAGGCCGTTACGAAAGTTTTGTTAGATTTTTACTGAAAATATTTTCACTGTTCATGCTTTGACACCTCTTTTTAGGGATCTAACTATTGTTCTGCTTCATCCAACCCACACTGCAATCATGTATGTGGAGATTCCCGTATAAACAGCCAAAAAAAAAAAAAAAAAAAAAAAAAGAGAAATCCCCTACTGTTGAACCCCTACTTCTGGATGGTGCTCTGCTCTGGACCTCATCCAGCAAAGCACTCTGCCACGGGCTTAAGTGTTTTTCTGGATCAGGGCCAGAACACTCCATTCTTTATAGGATCGAACTTACTGGTGGCAGCCTGAAAGTTTGCAATAAAAGTCCAAACTGGTCACATAAACTTTTGTGAAAACCATTCCCTCAACAGAGAGGGAGGGGTGACACCCGATTTAGTGATGGCTGTGGTCATTTTGTTCCCAGTCACTCCCGTACCGCAGTGACAGCTCATAATTGCTTAGATAGAGAAACTTTAACAAAAATGTATTGTAGCATTTCTTAATGGCCCCATCCCTTGAAAGACACCTAGGCAATGGGAAGTGCAAGGAAAAATCCTGTAACATTTCACTCACTGCCATGCTCAGAGTGGTTTGTTTTAAAGATCCAGTCTTTGGCAGTATGGCAAGCCCCTTGGTATCTACAGAAGTTATTTGGCAGCAGCTCTGCTGTAGCATGGTTTCTCTTCTGCTGAAAGGCACGGAGAAAAATCACACAAGGCTGCCCACTTGGAGACGTTTCTTTGTCATCTCAGCAGATAAGGGGTTTTGGTTCATCCTCAAGAAAGGGAGGCTCTCAAGGAACAGCGGGAGCAATTCCCTTCGCCCACCTGACCTGATGCAGTGGATGCTCTCGGTGCACTAGAGCTGTGCAATAGCTCAGCAGAAGATCCCGTTCTACCCCAGAGAAAGCTCCTGTGGCCCAGTGGGCTCCTTGCCTGCAGCTGTGGCCGCTGGTGCTCCTGGCTTGCTCTGAAACCCTCCTATCACCACCCCCCACAGGATTACATTAGAACCACAT